ACTGTGTGTGTTCTTGATGGAGACAATACCCCTTTGTGGAGTTAATAGAGGTCAGAGGTGTTTGTCCTCAGGCTGTCATTGCTCTTTTAACAGCCTATTTCCCCCATCCTTAAGAGATGTCTTCTCTTTGCCAAAAAAGTTGTTGACAGGAGGATGGATTGATTTCTGGACACTGTCAGATGGAGACCAAAGAGTGGTGCTGAGTGCAAGATGTAGCTATGTTCAATAAAATCTCACTTCTCTTAAATTAATCCCTACTTGTAGTGAACCTCCACTGGGTTTTTGAGGCCTTAAATCTTAAATGTAGGAGGTTGCTTATCTTTTTTACACAGAGCCACTGGTGAATTAAAGGCACAGAATTTTTTTGTTTAGCAGCACAACATGTTAAAGGTTATATACCCTTAGAGTTCTTAATACTTATTACTTGTTGTTGTTGTTAGTAGGGTGAAAGAAAAAGATTCCAGTATATCACTGTGACCTTCTGTAAGTATGAAACTTTTCCTTCAATAACCAAAGTAGATTGATGAACTTGAATAACAACAATGTAACTTGAAATTTTTTCAATGATGGTTAGGTCATAGAGATAGATGCAAGAGAATAATGTTATTAAAAGTTTCCAAGAGAGCACAAAAATCAATGCAATATGCCACTGTTATCACAGAAGCATAGTCATTATGAGAAATACAATATTATACTTTGAAGTAAGGGACTGATGATCTAATAGATAAGGTGTTGTGTGCAGCCAATCCAAGGGTAGGTGCTTGCAATCCACTAGCTGCCCCATAGGAGAAAGAGGATAATCTCATCCTGTATGATTTACAGCCTTGGAAAATCTGCTGAAGGTCACTTATAAGTCAGTTCAGACAGATGATAGTTAGTTGTTATTTTTACTTTGGAGTAAATATTAAACAAAGAAAATTCATAATAAAGGATTATTTTGTTGTAAATTATATATAAGATGTCAAATGAGAAAAGAAAAATTGAGCAATGGATCAAATTATTTTCAGAAACAATTTTTGTCTAATCATTACATCAGATTTTTAATTTAAAAATCATTTCTCTGCTTAAAATAGTTAATTATAATTTTTTTCCATATAAATACCTAGGAAAATCATTGTTGATTTCCTGCTGCATAAACAGAATAGCAATTTCATTCTGTATTAATTCTTCAAGCTATTCACTAGAAAAGCTTGTACACTGATGAATGGTTGGGCAAAAATAATATAATATTAGAGATTTTAGAAATAATATACTCAAAATATGATGAGTATTTTAAGTTGAGACCATATTTGCAGAATAAGACAAAGCGAACGTATGAAAGTCAGCATTATCCATAGTTGCAATAAGAAGAAAGTAAAGCATAAAGACAACTAACATAATTCTTGTTGGTTTTCTGTGCCTTTGAGTCTATTACAATTTGAAATACTTCCCTTGTTTTCAAATCAAAACCGATTCATAGTTGATCCTCCATTTGGTTTCTGGGGTCATAAACTGTATGGAGAAGAGAGATTGCTCATCGTTCTTCTAGAGAGGCCGTAGTGGATTTGAACAGCCAGAGAAGTGTCACTTTTAAGTTAGCAAAGTAACTCCCTACAGACCTTGCTAACAGTGTCACAATTCATAACAAACCTCTAAAATATCATAATTAAATATCATAAGTAGAATGGAGCCATAGTATTTCCTAGTCTGTAATGTTTGGGAAACAGATTTCCAGATCTTTTCTTCCTTGGAGCAGCTGTGTTTGAGTCACCAGCCATTTAGTTAGCAGCCAAGAGTTGAACATTCATTTCCATTATGCCAAGTTTAAGTCAAAGTCTATTAGAACGAATGAGCTCATGTAAAAGTAAGTGCACATGACTAAAACTCACATATGGAAAAAAAAATCAGAATAAAGAAAGCAATCACAGCTAACTGGAATAAAAAGAAAAATTCAGAGAAAATGAGACTCATAAAATTTGGAGAATCATAAGGGAGAAGGATATTTTAAAAAGAATTAACTGTATCTGTGCATAAAAAAGGAAAAGATTCATTTGACAGGAAAAGATATTATATAGTCAGTAGAGGTTTGATTTGATAAAGTTTTACAAGCCATTTATTAATTTTTACTGATGGAAAATCTGATACAAGTGTTCTTAGTAAGATTATTCCTGTAGCAAAATGAAAGATGGGGCTGCATAAAGATAGCTTCAACAAAGGGTGGGGGGGGGAGATGAATGAGTAAGATTTATGCAATAAAGTTGTTGTCTGCCATCAGTTCACAACAGACCCATAGCTGACCCTCCAAGTAGTTTTCAGAGGCAATGCACATCACAGAAGGAGATTGTCCACTTTTTTTTCTCTCAGAACATCTGATGCCTGGGCCTTTGGGTTGGCAGCACAGCTCCTTACCACTAAGCAATCAGAGCTTGGTAATAATGTTTTGGCAATAGGAGGTAAAAAGAGAGTAAAAGTAAAATATATTCTATTTGGAGAAATTACTGAAGAAATGTAACTGAAGAAACAATGAGATATAGAGAAGTAAAGAAGACTAATTCTTACAATATTGTATTTTTAAAATTTTTTTAAAATTACTATTGCTTTTATGTGTACTGTGAAATTGGATCTGACCAGTACAGGAGGAGATTGCCCCTTCTCCAGCAGAGCATCTGGTAGATTTGAACCTTGTACCTCTGGGATTGAAGTGCAGCTTCTTCCCACTAGGCCGCCAGAGCTCCCTAAAATGTTTTACTTCTAAAACAAAAAAAAAGTGAAAACAGTAGAATGAACTGGGGGGAAAAGAATAAATCTAAATGGTGGACAAGGGCAGTTCTGTACCTGCTGTATGAAAATTGATGAGATACAAGCATATAAAGTTGATATCTGAATTTAGAAATTATTTTTCTCTTGGATAAAATTTGCAGTGATGGTAGTATTGAAATAAAATGAAAAATATGGGATTTCTTGAAATATTTTGGTATCTACCTATAGGTAGATTGTTACCATACAAAAAACCTAAAATGTCCATAGGCAATTTTTATAGAGGTTAAAAAAGATAATAAAATCAGGTAACATTCTAAGGAAAAGAGCACTAAAAGCTTTCTTTTAAAATTGTCTGGAAAAGAATTAAATGTGTTCACTTTTTTGTTTAAATAGTGTCTGGATTTTCATAGTATGTTCTAGATGTTTCTCAAACTATTGATATATCTACTAACTATACAACATCTTTACTATTTCTTTTTAAATTCTCATTTGGAAGAAAAGGTTGAAGAAAAAGATTAGTTCATTTACATATTTGAATAGATCATCCCACAAGAGCAACATATCAGAATGAATTTTACAAAGAACAAAAAAAGGATTAATTTCTGAAGAATCATATACCTTTTCCTTCCTTTCAGAAAGATTAAAAACCGTTTAAATTTTACTTGTTTGTTTGCTTTGATATATGTTATTAAGAATTTATTTTTCTTGAATATTACTGTCTAGTAAAATAGAAATATATAGATAGACATATGAAGCATAGATACAGATAGACATCTGTTTTGGATTTTTTTTCTCTCCCCTCTGGAATCTGCATATGCAAAGACCCACTAAAGTGGGAAATGACTCATTTAACTTTAAAATCTTGCTCATCACTGAGGTTCAGGGATCAAAGTCAAGAAGATTATTAGAAATGTACTGTCAGGTATCACCAAGTTACTAAATAGGATTCTGATTTTTAAGGAGATTTCAGGTAACTCTCTTCTATTAAACTTAGAAAGCATATCCCATGCACTGCTAAAATAATGGTATTAATATGTTATAAAGTGTGCAGCCAGACTGCTTCTTAGAGGCAAGGTGGCAAAGCTTTCTCTGCCATATTTTGGACATTTTGCTAGGAAAGGCTAATCCTAGGAAAAGGATCTCATGAATAGAAGGATCAGTGTCAGTGAAAGAGAAGACACGCCCATAGAGCTGTATTGACAAGGTGTTTGGCTCATTGAGATCAAGTGCATCAGAGATGGTGAAGATGGCACAAGATAGAGCACCTGACGGTACCCAATAACAACAAATTAACTTCATGTAAAATGGTTCATCAAGTTATATTTTGCATGTAACTTATTTTAACGCACTAAAATGCATCACAATCTCAATTTAAAAGCTTTAAAGACTACATTGAGGATGTCGTTATGTGCAGCAATGACATGAAAACAGTGCTACTCAAAATGTTTCATGCGGCAGACATCGTTAGAGGTTTTAAAATACATTAGATTCTTAAAATACTCTTTTGTTATTGCTGTTGTTACACAGTGCTGAGAGTTCAAATCAACCCATAGCTCCACCTCTGAGAACAGTTGGTAAATTCCAAATGCACGTCTTTGGGTTGCCGCCACAACCCTTTACCAGTAAGTCATGTTAACGCCTCCATATTTCTTCATGTGAAAACAACCCCAGAGAGAGAAATATCTGTTATTTTTGCACAGTTAGTTTATTCAATACACTCTTAGCACCTCAGTCAATTTCTGTGTTAGTTTAAAATAAGTGTTGTCAAGGAGTGTACAGTATGCTATAAGGAAACAAACACTACAGAAGTATAAGGTAAGAAATTAAAAGAGAGAAATGTTAATTTTTCCGAAGGAAATTAGGAAGAACTTCTATTTGTAAAGTTCATTTAAACTGATCTCTTAGTAGCACATTTTTAGAAAGTTGGCTCTGAAGTATCTTTAATGTGTCTTGAAGTTTAGTAAGGGGAAATCAAGCAGAGTTGAGCTTTGAACATGGCAAGGATCCTGCAGAACTTTGTAGAACAAAGTTCGGTTGTTGAACTTTATACAAGAGTCACAGGAGGCTTTGGAAGGTTTTAAGAGAAGAAAGTGCTAAATCCAGATGCAGGTTTGGGAAAGCTGTTACTTTCAAACCTAAACAGAGCCCTGCGGGTGGGTGGGTTTTAAAAGCGCCACTCCCCTAGGTTTTCTTTTCTCCACCCAAATCACCGCCTCCAACTTCTCAGTGTGGATGTCTGGAAGGGGGAGGGGAAACTTTTGATGGGGGCGGGAGAAAGAAAAACATTTAAAAAAAATGTATTAAAAAGAAAGCATTCCACTTGGCAGCAAGCGCGCGGGAAGTTCAGCGCCCGAGTTCCGGGTTTCCCTGCCTTTTGTCAGCCCCCAGCCAGCCGCAACGTGAGTGAGCCCCCAGACCCTTGTTCTGCTGCCCTGCCCATCACGCGCCCCCATCTGTAGTTCTGTCCTTCTTCCCTGCCCCCCACGCACCCTTCCTCTGCGTCCCCGTGCATATCCCCAGGGTCACCAGGAATCTCAGGGTCTGTGCTGCCTGCATTGTTCTTGGCCGAGACTGTGAGGCCCGCCTCCAAAAGCAGCCCTGGAGGGATCTCTTCAACAAAGGGGCCCTAGCCAGGATCCCCGGTGCTGGGAGCCCCTGGTTGCTGCCAGAGATAACACTTGGGGAGTTCTTCCTCTAGCAGTTGTAACTTTCAACTAGCTGCAGCTAGGCCTATTTTTACTCAGAAACTAGTTTCCAGGGCAGTTGTGGACACTTTGGCATGGATTAGGAGTCAGCCTGCCACTGCCACTTGAAGATTCCTTACAAATTGGCGGGTTAGGTGAGATTGCAAAATTCCACAGCCAATTTCTGAAAAGGATTGGATTGGTAGTAGCCTTGCTTGTTGTGGAGGGCTTTTTCCAGAGCTTTTGGGAGTTGTGCATACCCAAGTCCAACTATTCTACCTTGAAGCTGTGATCTTTAGTCCCCTATAAACTGGTCTTAGCCTAGTAAACTCCAGAAAGAATACCTCCAGAAACTTCTGGGGACAATTTCCCAGCGGTGAAGGCCACAGAGATGAGTGTAGCAGCCAAATACCGCACGGCTTCTTTGTATGTGGGTGACCTGCAGGAAGATGTAACTGAGGACCTATTGTTTAAGAAGTTCAACACTGTGGGGCCAGTCCTGTCCATACGCATTTGCAGGGACCTGGCCACCCATTGCTCCTTGGGCTATGCCTATGTGAACTTCCTACACTTGGCTGATGCACAAAAAGCCCTGGACACCATGAACTTTGACTTGATAAATGGAAAAGCCATCCGACTTATGTGGTCCCAGCGTGATAACTATTTAAGGAAATCTGGGATTGGAAACATATTTATCAAGAATCTGGACAAATCCATTGATAACAAAACCCTTTATGAGCATTTTTCAACTTTTGGGAAGATTCTCTCCTCTAAGGTAATGAGTGATGATCAAGGCTCCAAGGGTTATGCATTTGTGCACTTTGAGAACCAGCATGCTGCAGACAGGGCCATTGAAGAGATGAATGGGGCTCTGTTCAGGAACTGCAGAATGTTAGTAAGCAGATTCAAAACTCGTCAAGATCGTGAAGCTGAGCTCAGAAATAAACCTACTGAATTCACCAATGTTTACATCAAAAACTTTGGTATTGACATGGATGATAAGAGACTGCAGGAAGTTTTCAGCAAATATGGTACAACTCTAAGTGTTAAGGTGATGACAGATTCCAGTGGGAAATCCAAAGGCTTTGGTTTTGTAAGTTTTGTTAGCCATGAGGCTGCCAAGAAAGCTGTGGAAGAAATGAATGGAAAGGACATGAATGGACAGCTGATATTCGTAGGCCGGGCACAGAAGAAAACAGAACGTCAGGCTGAGCTAAAGCAAATGTTTGAGCAGTTAAGGCAAGAAAGAATTCGCAGAAGCCTTGGAGTAAAGCTCTATATTAAGAACATTGATGACACCATTGATGATGAAAAGCTATGGAAGGAGTTTTCTTCATTTGGATCGATTAGCAGAGTTAAAGTAATGCAGGAAGAAGGTCAAAGTAAAGGATTTGGCTTGATCTGTTTCTCCTCTCCTGAGGAAGCTACTAAAGCAATGACTGAAATGAATGGCCGCATCTTGGGTTCCAAGCCACTCAACATTGCTCTAGCCCAGAAGCATGATGAAAGAAAAGCATACTTCACCAGCCAATATTTGCAATAGGCATGGGAATAGTAGTCAGCCATGCCTAAATTGATACTAAATTTTTTTGATACTAGTAAATTTTAAGCCCTGTGAGATGGCTATTTAATGTAGTAAAATTTTTGTTGAAAAGTTTATTATACAAAGTCATATGTGTAGATGTTTATTTAAACGTGTGCATGTGAGTACATGTGTGCACATGCTTTTCTGGCCTAGTGGTAAGGAATTAATTGGACTCTTAACCTAAAGACAAGTGTTGGAATCCACTGGATGGTGAGGATGGGAGGAAAGAAAGATGAGCAAGCTCCTCCCATGCAATTTACTTTCTCTGAAAACTGCTAGAGAGTCAGCTGCGAGTCAGTTGCAGTTCCATGGTGTACAACAACCTGTGTGTGCATCTGTTGTTTATTTCTATGTTGTATTTGTAGCAACAGTTATAATTATATGTATTTTTATTACATTTTTAACAAACTACAATATAGTAATTTGTATTTACAACATTTGTTCTTTCCTATTTCACTAATTTTGCCAGCTTTAATTTTTCTTGTGATATTAATCTCAAAATATTTCTTATATTTGAGGATTTCAAAGATATGTATTGCTTCAAATAGAACTTTTATAACTTAATTTTTTAAAAGAACTTAAAAATTTAAGAATTAGATGTAATGCAAATTGAATTAAATATCTAATTTCGTTTTTGGTGAATAGTTAAAATACTAGGGAAGGTTCAGTTTCTTCTAATATTATGTCCTGTCATGATTGCTTATCTAATAATGGATGGAATGAAGATGATGGAAATTTTTGCTGTTGCATGTTAATATTATTTCCACTGGTTTCTTGTGATTCAAGTACTTGCTAATTGCATACATAGTGACTTGTAAGATATATTCTTAATTTCACATTTGTTAAGTTTTTAATTTGTACCAGTTTATTTCTCTACTTACATAATGTACCTTACATTTTAACTGGCTACCAATATGATAAAAATAATATGTAGAACATACCATCATTGGTTAGGAAGTCTGGTGGCCTACTGGATAGAGATCTGCCATCGAACTCAAAGGTAGTCAGTTGTAATACATCACTTGTTCTGCTTCTAGCTCCACTTCCAGCTCCTGTGCAATTTATCACCACTGAGAACCCACTCCAGATTGAAAGTCAGCTATGAGTTGATTCCAATTTAACTGGAATTAGTTAACATGTTGTTGCAAATGACGGTAATACATCAAAGGAAAAAAAATGTGTTTCAATTAAAAGTGTGTGGCAAAGTGTTAATAGCTGTGAATAGCTGGTTAATACATGACAAATAGCTGTTTTTCAATTTCTGTTTTATATTGTTTATATAACAATATCAGACAATTGTTAAAAATTTTTTATGAACTCAGTTTTTTCTTTTATTTTCCTGTGGTATTTATGCATTAATTTTGAGGATAATACCAAAATATGGATTTATTAGAAAGTAACATCCCCCAAAGGGATTTGAAATCAGGAGGTTTGGCCAAAATTATTCATTTTGAACCTTAATTGATTAGTAGCTCAACACTGATTTTCTGGTAAATTACAATTAGAGCATGCAACCTCTGCTTTGTAACATACTTTTTTATATTAATTTAGTTCCATTCCTGTATTTTCCTTTACTTCTCTTCTTTGAGCCATGTTAGTTACTGTCTTTTAATACTTAATTTAGGATATGTGCTACTTCAACTCCATTTGGAAATAGTGGAATAAGGAATTTCTTTCATTTAAATAATTATCTAAAAATATTCTAATTCACTTTTGCCAAAGGTGTTTAGAGAGGAAAACATCTACTTTACTTCTGTTTTAGTTTTTATTTAATATTAGCACAAAACCATTTTAAACTATTTGCCTATGGTGTTATTTTATAAAAGGAAGAGAAGAATAAATTTTTATTTGTTTAAGAATATGTATTCATCATTACAATTTGATTAATGCAATCTCATTTAGACAGAGGGAAAATTAGTAAGAATCAAATAAAATATTCTTGTTTTGGTAGAATTAACACTAGGCCACGAGAGTTCCCAAATACATTCCACAAAGAGAAAATTTAACAAAATAGCATTATACAGTAAATATTATAATCACTTGCTTAATTTGACATATTATTGTTTACAATTATTCACTACTCACAATTATTTACTATTCACTTATAATGACTTATATGTTAATTATAATACCATACTGTAACTAATTCCCTATTGATAAGAATATAGGTTGCTACATTATTTCCTTTTATCCTTTTCCTATATTGAAAAACTTTGAGGTGACCATGTTTGTAATCTCAACTGTACTGATATTTCCAATTAATTTCTTAATAAAATTTATAGAAAAGGAATGAAAGAGATTAATACAAAGAAAGTAATTTTTTAATGAACTGATGAATATTGCCCAGAAATCCAGAACATTTGTATTACTTACATTTCCATTGTCAAAATAGGGGTAGGCCCATTACGTGTACTCCAAGATACATAAAGTTTTGTCTTTCTGTATAAGTAATTCTATGACTTTATGCAATGTAAAATAACATGTTTAACAATGGTTTTATTTCTTTTTTATTATATAAATGTTAAGCAATATTTCTTATAATATAGTGAAGGCTTGTAACCCATTCTTGTGAATTATTATTTCATGATCTTATTCTAGTTTACTCTTAGGTATCTTCATTTATATAAATATGGAATATTTTTTGCATATTAGGTATATTTAGGACAAGGAAGTTTCGGCTATTTCCTACCTTCTTCCAAAATCTCAAGAATCATTCTAAAATTTTAAATTTTTTAAGGTGAAAATTTGTAATCTTCCCATTAGGAAATTCGTATCATTGTTCAAAATAACTGACACCCTCATTTTTACTTCTCATCTGTATTTTCTTGTATTATTTAGAGAGTTGCATAATCTCAGTGCTTTCTACAAAATATGTCTATAAAATCTACTTTAAAACTAATAAATATTTTAAAATGTTACACATTTTCATCTTTAATAACATGTTTTGATGAATACTGATGTATCAAGAATTTATGTACAATATGCACCTATATGCCAACTCTAAATTTGACTCATTATATATTTCAAAACCGGAGAGTACCTCGGAACAGTGCTGATAAATGAAGTAGATGTGCCATTCATGGACTCACATCTCTTTCTGAATAATCCACTAACCATTTTCAAATATTCCGATACATAGATTGTTGTTGTTGTTATGTACCAATGAGTCGCCTGCAACTCACAGTGACCCTGTGTACAACAGCCCTAAAACTTGCTCTATCCCTTGCCAATCTTATTGTCTCTGATATGCCTATGCCCATTACCCCAGTGACTGAATCAATCCATCTCATCGAGGGTCTTCCTCTCCTGCACTGTTCCTCTACCCTCCCAAGCATGATGTCCCTCTCCAAGGACTGATCCCTCCTTGCAACATATCCAAAGTATGTCAGACAAAACTTTAGATTCCTTGCCTCCAAGGAGCAGCCTGGCTTCACCCCCTCCGGAACAAACTTGCTTGTTCTCCTAGCAGCCTATGGTATATTCAACACTTTTCTCCAGCACCAAAGCCCAAAGAGATCATCTCTCCTCTCATCCCGAGTCATTGTCCAGCTCTCTGATGCATAGCAAGTAATTGCAAAGACCTTGGCCTGTATCAGGCACACCTTAGTCTCCAGACTGACATCGTTGTTCTTCAGTACTTTGGTAAGGTTTCTGACAGCAGACTTTCCCAATGCAATTCATCTTTTAATTTCCTGGCTGCTGGTACTAAGAGTGTTGACTGTAGAGCCAAGCAAACGGAAGCTGTCAACAATCTCAAAATCTTCATCATCTATCATGATTCTGCCAATCGGCCCAGTGGTGAGAATCTTTGTTTTCTTGCTGTTGAGCTTCAATCTATATTGAAGGCTGCAGTCCTTGACCTTCTGCAGCAAGCACTTCAGGTCCTCCTCAGCTTTCCCTAGCAGGGTGTGTCATCTGCATAACTCATATTGTTGATGAGTCTTCCTCTCATTCTGATGCCACACTTCTCCTGATAGAGCCTAGCCTCCCAGATAATCTGTTTCACATATGTATTGAAAAGATATGGAAATAGGACACATCCTTGAAGCACACCCTTCCCAATTTTGAACCTTGCAGTGTTTCATTGCTCTGTTCTGATGACTGCCAGGATCCTGGTTTAAGTATAGGTTCCACATAAGCACAACCAAGTGTTCTGGGATTCCTATTCTTCTCAGAATCAGGCATAGTTTGTTGTGATCTACACAGTCAAATGCCTTTGCACAGTCAATGAAACACAGACATTTCTCTGGTACTGTCTGCTTTCAGCCAACATCCATCAGACAGTACCTATAATATCCCTAGTGCCATAGCCTCTTCTAAGTCCAGCCTCCATTTCAGGCAGTTCTTTGTTGATGTGCAGTAATTTTTGGATAATCAGCAGAATCTTGCTTGTATGTGATACATAGATTATTAAAACATTAAAATTTCTTTTTCTTCTCTTTACTATTTAGCTCTTGTAGCCCAGCCGTAAAGAAGCTGTTCTAGTGGTAATCAGCTGTTCAAATTCACCAACTGCTTTGCACGATAAGGATAGGCAATCTTCTCTCATGCATTGCCTTGGAAAATCCACTGGAATTTCAACTATGAGTCAGTTCTGACTCAGTGGCGCACAAACACAACAAAATATACATAGGAATTAAAAACCTATTAGAGATCTAGAATCTTTTGATAGTAAAATTGATAAAAAAGTGATCGATTGGTATCTTAGATCTAGATAAATTTACTGTAGTTCACTTACACAAAATCAACTATCTTGAAAAGAGAAAAGAGCTTATTATCAGAATTTATGATAAGGAATAAGGAAGTCATAATACAAAAATATATAGCCTGTGGATCTCACTGATTAAGTTATTTTAATATTTCTCATTCAGCATCGTTGTGTGTTTGTGAATGATATCAAGTCACTTAGCAGTAAAATGTTCCAAAGAACCACTTTATTTTAAGAAAATTAATACTTC